CAAGAAGAGTTATTATCTTTTTTTTCTTTTTTTCTTTTTGCCTCTTTTTATTTAGATAAAGGAAAGTAAAATATGGTTTGACTGAACCCAAGACTAAAATATTGGTGTCTCAAATCCAATTAACAAGTAGTTTTTATCTGAATAACCTTGTAGCGAGCTCGATAGAACTTTTAAATCTAAATAAAGTAATTGGCTCAAAATATAACAAGACATAAACCAATTTTGTCATATCATAATTACAATGTTTTAATTTTTTTGTTAACTTTTCTATACACATTTTTTAATAAAATTTTTCATTTAAACACAACTCATTTTACTCTTCACGATGATGCATAACAATGAAATCGTTTATTTCAGAAACCCCGTCAAGTGAGATTTTTTTTAAAAACGATATTATTATAAATTATAAAAAGTCAACTTTAGTTACACCGCTTCATGCAGAAACACGTGAGTTAATAAGTTTATTACTTTTATTACTTATTACAATTTGTTGTTACTTGTCTTGAAATTTTCGTTTAACGCAGGAACCGGTTTAGTGAAATCACATAGCAGCTTTCTGCAGTAAACTTTATATTTTGTGTTCATAACATAAAAAGCTAAAATGATCATTTACCACGAAAGTGAGGCCAATAAGTCTTCAGTGGATTTTGAGATGTTTGCTCCATAATACTACATTATTTTGAAAATAAAGTTCCATGGCCCTTTTGGGCAAAACATGATATAATGTATGTTGAGATTCTTGATGAGATTCGAAACTGTTTGTCACTACTTTCTAGTCAGAAGTCATTCATTTTTACATTTTGATTGAGATTTCGAAGAGTTGACAGAGTTTACACCCAAAACCAGTATGGTGAAATGGTTCTGAAACAAGTAAATCATGGCGTTTTACTGTTCAACAAACAAAAACAACATGGTATACTTTTTTAATACTTGATAACTACAATTTTACAAAAAGACTTTCAACTCAGATAAAACATTTAGAAATAGAACTTGAAAGGATTCTTTTTATTTTTTTAAACAAAAATGGCCGAGGAAAAGTAGTTAATAAGCACTTTATTGACGGTTTCATCTTCTCAATGTTTATACTCAAAAAATATTCTGCAGTTCCGGAGTTTCTAACAGTGATCGCATGTCCATCTGGAAAGATAGGAATCACCAAAAAAAATTATTGATCTGAAAATATTGACCCAATATAATGTAGGATATGAATATTTATATGTGAAAATCCTCCAGTGGCGCTCGAACCAAGCCATCTTCACCATCAGTGTAGCTTACGACGATAAGTAGGATAAAAACTCAATCAATAGTCCTGGTCTCTATGCAAAGACAACATGTTTAATGATATAGTCTGTTTTACCTTGCCTCATTTGTCTTCAATTTTTTTTTTTATTTTGTGTTCCTCAATTAACTGATATTTTTACATTTTTTTTTGATTTTAATAAACTTGTATATCAAGATAATATACCTTTTTATTTACAACATAAAACTGCTTTTTATTTACAACATACAAATCCAAATTATTAACAACATACAACTGCTTTTCAAAATTAATATTATAGTCAAATTTTTTTTTTTTTTTTTTTTTTTATCGTAAAAAAGTTTAAGTTACGTTATTGCAGAAACCCCTAAAGTATAAAGTTTTAAAAATAACCCCAAGCATTTTTTTCTTTTGTAATACAATAAAAAAGTTAATAAATATTTTCCCAGCCAAAATTTTTACTAATTTTAAATTTAGAAAAGTTTTTTAGTTTTGCGAAAGTTGAAAAAAGCGCACTTGACGGGTTTCTGAAATAAAGGATTTAATTTAATCATGGACATATAAGAGACGGACGTGCAACTTATTGTTGTTTTTGCGAACTATGCTCAATAATTAGGCGTCTGTATTGTTGTTTAAAACAAAAGAAAATAGTTATGATTCTATACGTCGATTTTTTAACAATTTCTTGAACTTGTTTAATCAGTCTAAATTATGGTTTTTCATAATATTGTTGTTAAAAATTCATGAACTGGGCAGTAATTTAGTATTTTAAGTAAAAGTTGTGTATTAAAAATATGTAAAATGTAGTTCTTTGTGATTTTATAATAAAAAAACTAATTTTTAAAGCAAACAGCAAGTATGCAATTACGATGTTATCATCGAAGTTATTTTAGTAGTTAAGAAGTAATAAAAAACTACATCTTTTAATGATGACCTTGTTAAAACAATCTTTTTATCTAAATACACTAAGGTAATTTGGTTAATTGTAGCCTAGTTTTGAAAGCAAACTGTTTGTTATAAAAGTTAATAATAAAGTTAATATTAAATAATTAAATTGAAACAGTTTGTATCATGTTAGAATGATTAAATTAATTTCAAACCGGAATTTTTTTTATTTATTAACATAACGTATAATAAAAGAAGGCAAAAAAAAAAAGCGGCATGTCGGATAAAACAAAAAAATATATTAAAGTTGAAACAAAATGAGCAAAAAATTTAAACTCTGAATAGTAAGAATACTAACTGAAATAAAAAATATAAAACTTGACTAAAATATCCAATCCATAAATCTTTTTTAAAAAGCTCTCTTAACGTGTTAATTTTATTGTTGACGTTTACTTAAAAACAGTCTAAGTATTATAAAAATCTGTTATTATATCTTTGTATTTGTAATAAACATCATTTATTTATGTTTGATTTGAACAATAATATGCAAGCAAAAATCGATTTACAGAATCGTCTATTAAATCCTTACTAAAAATCTTTGGTTGGCAGCCATTTTTAATACTTTTTTGCTAATGACGGAAAATTTTGATAAGATCGTGAAAACGCATGGCTCGCTGATTTTGTCGGTTTCTCTGATGTAAAACAAAAAGTTGCACGTCCATCTCTTATACGTCCATGATTTAATTAATCTTCACGATGATTTATAAAAACGGAACATGAGAATAATTCGAAATTGTGACACATATACGGTTTAGTAGGGCGATGAAAAATTGAACAGTTTTTAATTTTATGTCAACCGATTTCTTGGGGCGTCGAATTTACATAACTATTTCACAAGATAGGTGTTTTAGAAAGATAGTTTAACGAAATAATAATAGATTCATTATTTGCATTATTGGAATATTGTTTAAATGTTCCCGTTTTTTTTTTATTTGATTCCAATAAAATCTCTGTAAACTCTACAAATCTCAACCTTTTTGATTAAATTTTAGTCCTTTACACGGTTTAACCATTTTTATGCACCTACAGATTTAAAAAATAAAATAGTGATAGTTTAAGTTTTATATTCCGTTAAGACATTGTTCACATAATTATTTATAAAGTCCGTGTTTTGAAGTCGGCTATAGGCATAATGCTACATCGGTATATTTACTATTATTAATACGAGGTCAGTATGTTAGGACTTTTTGAAACACCTAAAAAAGAAAAAAAAAATCAGTAAAAAGACCAAGCTGTAGAGTGTAACTAAAGGCAATCCACAAAATGTTGTTAAGTCAACAAGTTTAAATTAATCAAAAAAAGTGCAATCATAAAGTAATTTTGTGACCCTGAGATACCATAAAAAAACTAATTAATGAGAATCACTGAATATGAAGTTATTGATTATATAAATTATGAAAGTTGTGGCCAAGGCCACACGCTACAAGGCCAAGGCCAAAAGTTACAAGGCCAAGGACTACTCTTGGCCTTGTTCTTAAAACTTTTTAAGGTCAAGGCCAAGATTAAGAATTTCAAGACCAAGACCTACGCAAACATCTTCGAGATTAAAAACTTCAATTTTTGCCTAGCGTTAAGGCCAAATATTAACAAAACTGTAAGTGGCAAGTGCTGTGACAATAAAACCACATTTTGTAAAAATAGACCAATGTTATGCGCAGAATTCAAAGTAATCAATAAGAAAATATGTATTTTTTTCAAGGCCAAGGCCAAAGCAGTCAAGGCCAAGGCCTCAATTTTTGGTCTTAAGGCAAGGCAAAGGCCAAGGACTAACAACACTAGATATATTACAAATGTATTCATAATAGATATACTTGTATCATGCTAACAAAAAGATCATACTAAAAAAAATGAAGAGGAGGAAAAAAAAATGGAGGGAGGGAAGGAAGGGTGAGGGGAGCGGAAACAACTTTAACTGCTTTGTCTGAATATGATAATAATGATTTTTAAAAAACAGAAATGACTTTTTTATTCTATTATTAAATATAAATATATTATAAATGTAAATATAAATATTTATAAATATAAATGTAAATCTTTATTCCTAATTGTAATAAACTAACTTATCGAAAAAGAATATTCAAGCAAAAACTACGCATAGTCAAATAAATAAATATATGCATAAGTATATACATAGCCAAAATTTTATATCAAACATTAAATCAAAATATGATCTCACCACTTATGATATTGTCTGCGCAAAATCATTAAACTCATACTAATTTTTTATTTTCTATGCCTCAAAATAATTTTTAAAATAGTAATTAAGATATTTTATAAGTAATTATAGATATTATGAGATTAATAAAAAATTTAATTCAAAAAAAAAAAATTCAAAACCACTTTTGTAGGAATTTTAGAAGCTACCAGTTCTTATTTAACTATTTTACATCTATTTGATGTTCACTATTTTTAATACTTAAATCTAAACTAAAAAATTTTGAAACTTGAAAGATAAGAATTTTAGGAAACCGTTTAGACTTGATTATGCAAATGGTGTGTCAATTGGAGTTTAACTTTTTGAGATAGAGACCAAAACATCTTTTGTTTAAGATTTTATTTGTTAAAAAAATTTTTATCAGCAATTTCTTATTTTGTTTATAAGTATTATAAAGTTTAAAATGGAAAACATGTAATTTAAGTTTTATATATATATATATATATATATATATATATATATATATATATATATATATATATATATATATATATATATATATATATATAAGTTACACCATTTTAATACTAGTTTAAAAACTATTAACTAATAAAATTAAGAGCTAAGTTTTTAAAACATCAGTTTAAAAAAATCAAAAGATAAAAGCAATTATAAATTAAAAGTTACAAAAACAATAAACGTTTTAAACTTATTCATTAATAATAAACCAATTAGGAGATTTTTCATTAAGTTTTAGCCAATTGAAATCATCAACATTTCTCCAATTATTAACATTAAATTCTAAACCAGCTTCTTGCATATGTTCAGTGATACCATCATATCTCCACATATATTCACCAAAACCAACATGTTCACAGTCTTCAATTACAGCTTTACTTCGAACAAGGATATAAAAATTTGTATTAAATGTTGAATGGATCCTTAACTGCTGACAAGCTAAATGTAATGCACTGTCATAACAACCATTTATAAAAATGGCTCGACTGATTGGTCCACAATGCACAATAGTATTACTTATATTTTGTATTTGCATGGCACTAGGACATCCTTTAATTTCAACAGTGCAATCTTGTAAGTTAATTAAATTGATACACTTTGAATGACATTCAGACGGATTTAATGATAAAGATTTACCAACCAAATTTGAGAAACCAAAAGTTTGATCAGATAATAGGGAACTCTCTGTACTATCTATTACTTTTTTTAAACCACATTCATTATTTCCATTTTTTTCTGTAATCTTTACTCTTGATTTAAAAGCAAACTTAGTTTTAGGAAGCAAAAGTTCTCTCTTCAAGTTAATGCTATTCCTTATCTCTGACAAAATTTCTTGCGCTCTACGAATATCATATGAGGGTAAATCAGATGCAGAATCAGAAACAAATTTTTGAAGAATGAGCATTTTTTGTGAGATAGTCTCAAACAAATTAGAAATGTCAAGCTTATTCTTCAAAGGCTCAACTGAATTCAGTGAATTAAGAAGTTCAGTGATCTCCCTTTTTTCTTTGTTAAATGTAATCAAGAAAACATCTGAATTGCTTACTTTTTCTGAAATATCTTTGAGTCTTTCCAATCGTCTTTTTTCATACATAAGTAGCATATCTTGATGACGCTTTTCAAAGCGTCTTTGTATGTCTATATTTTCTTCTGCCATGACATAAACTATAAAATATTTTCGAATTTAAAAAAAATACATAGCTCTTAATGTATTAATACAAAACCATTAAAAAAAAAACATTTTTTTATAATAATTGTTTTTTATTTCATACTTTTATAATATTTATTTTTTATAATATATAAATATATTTTTAAGAATTATTTTTTTCAAACAATATATTATTTAAAACAGTTTAAAAAATTTAAAAAAAGTTTTAAACAATTTAAATAAAACATATGTAAAAACAATTAGTGAAAAAAGCGGTTTTGCCAACATTGTGAGGCACAACTGCACCCTCACAAAAACCATTCAAGGTACACCTTTCATAGTACATATTCTTAACAATTTTCAAAGCTCATATTATTTAATGATTTTGTTGAATGTTTGTATACTGTGCAGGTATTCTTTGTATTTACATTTTGAGTTCTGCTCCAGAAGAGAGTTCTGCCCCAGAAAAAAGTTTTTAGAAAGAACTCAGTTTTATAGCTTGTTTATTATACTATGTTGATATCAAAAATGGTTTTCACTTGATGAAATAACACTGATAACACATATCTTTAACACTAAAATCAAATATTGCTCAATCCTTGAAAGAAAGGTCTGGAAAAATATGATGTAAAAATAATATTTTTACCAAAATAAACATTATTATGCACAACTTCTCAGAAATGCATCAGGCACTTTTTTTGACATAAGCGAAATGAAAGAAACTGTTTTACTAACACGTGATATGTTTTTTGCCATATTAGATATTTTTCAAAGAGAAATGTTAAAAAACAGTTGTGCCTGCGTATGCAATTATGTCCCCACTTCCCCTATCTATCTATCTATCTATCTATCTATCTATATATATATATATATATATATATATATATATATATATATATATATATATATATATATATATATATATATATATATATATATATATATATATATATATATATATATATATATATATGAGCCTTAAGGAGTCTTGAGACCATATATATATATATATATATATATATATATATATATATATATATATATATATATATATATATATATATATATATATATATATATATATATATATATGTATATATGTATATATGTATATATATATATCTATACGTATATATATATATATATATATATATATATATATATATATATATATATATATATATATATATATATATATATATATATATATATATATATATATATATATATATATATATATATATATATATATACAATAAAAAAACTTAATTTACCAAGGCAGAAAAATTAACAAGCACTAATTAAAAAAAAAAATAATTTTTTTAAATTTAAACCCTTGTTAATACATAAAAATTACTTTTTAATAATACACAATAATACTTAATACATAAACATATTTGCTCATATTGAAAATAAAATTAAAAAGTTAAATTACTATTACCACGGTCCGTGGTAATTATAATTTTCCGTAAACCGTGGCACGGATATTATCATTGGTAACCTGAATTTTAGCTAAGCATACGCTACTGAGTTTTCGTGTGTATGATTTATAGTTTTTTTTGTTTTTTTTGTTTTATAACTTTATTCAATTCGTAAACCATAATAAAAATACAATAAAAAAAAAAAATACACCAATTATATAAATAAATTTCAATATACATTTTTGAAGCAACCATACCTTGTACAGTTAAAATAAAAGTTTTGAAAATATACTGTCAATCTCCAAATATGATATAGGTATCTTTATTGACCTATCTAAGGCTTTTGATACAGCAGATCACACTATCTTACTGCATAAGCTTAAATATTATGGTATAAACAAAAAAACTTTAAGGTGGTTTGAAAGCTACCTATGAAACCGTAAACAATTTGTTTCTTGTAAGGATGATTGCCAAAAAAATTTATTAGATATATCTTGCGGTGTTCCTCAAGGCTCTATATTGGGACCCCTCTTATTCTTGATTTACATTAATGACTTAAATAAAGCTTTAAATCTACTTAGCATTATGTTTGCTGATGATACTAACCTAATCCTTTCTGATGCTGACATCTCCAAATTGTTTTTTAATATAAATGACGAACTTAAAAAATAAACCTAGCTGGTTCAAGTGTAACAAATTAACTTTTAATACTAATAAAACAAAATGGATTATTTTCCACCCGCTAAAACGTTACCTACCCATAAATCTGCCTAAAATATTTATTAACCAAATTGAGATTAAGAGGGACTCTGTAATAAAGTTTTTAGGAGCCTATCTTGATGAGCACATTACATGGAAACAGCATAATGATCACGTATGTACCAAGATTTCTAAAAATATTGGAATTTTATATAAATCTAGAGATTATCTAAATAAAAAAAGCTTGACCTAACTCTATCATTCGTTTATCCATAATTGTATAAATTATGCAAATATTGCTTGGCGAAGTGCTGGAAAGAATAAGTTAAAACGTTTATTTTCTCGTCAGAAACACGCAATTCGTATTATTAATTTTTCCGATCCTTTTTCCTCATTCAAAACCTTTATTTAACGAAATGAGAATACTTAATATTTATGAAGTGAATTTATATAATACTCAATGTTTTGTATATATGTGGAAAAATAACTTATCTCCTGACGTTTTTAAAAATATTTTCACTTTGAAACTAGACAATAAGTATGCACTGAGAAATAATAATTTGCTAAATCAAGCTTTATGTCGAACCAAGTTTAATCAGCTTTGTATTGATTATCGTGCACCTAATCTTTGGAATAAAGTTATTTTTGCAAAATTTTGATCTACCTTCCTCTTTTTCTATTTTCAAAATTTTAAATCTCCAGGGTTTGATGAAATAAATCTCCAGGGTTTGATGAAATTCCCAGTAATATCCTTATATCTAACAAAAAAAGCATTACAAAACCTTTGTTCCACGAGAGTATACCCAATTTATAAAAATAATGATCGCGCCGACGTATCAAACTATAGACCCATATCGGTACTTTCTGTTTTCTCAAAAATCTTCGAACGTGTAGTTTATAATAGAATATTTGATTATTTTACAAAAAGTAAATTTTTTAATCCAAAACAATTCAGATTTCAAAAAAAACATTCAACAGAACATGCCATTATTGAATTAGTCGACCAAATAACTGATGGTTTTGAAAATGATTGAAAATGGTTTTAAAAATGAGTTTACTCTCGGAGTATTCATAGATTTATCCAAGGCATTCGACACCGTTGATCACTCTATTCTGTTAGAAAAACTAAAATGGTACGGGGTATGCAATAAATTATATCATTGAATAAAAAGTTACCTATCTAATAGAAATCAATATGTTCAAAAAAAGAAATCTATAATACTGAATATTCTGTGTGGAGTGCCTCAAGGATCGATCCTAGGACCGCTCTTATTTTTAATTTATGTTAATGATTTTAATAATGCATCATTAAAACTAAATACTATCATGTTTGCAGACGATACAAATCTATTTTTATCTAACTGCAATATTAATCAACTTTATACTGACATGAACATTGAATTAGAAAAAGTAAATGATTGGTTCAGGTCAAATAAACTTTCTCTTAACGTTGAAAAAACACAATATACCTTGTTTCATAAAAAAACACACATGAAGAAAACCTTCCTCTAAAACTGCCAAAACTTATTATAAATTAAAAACAAATTAAAAAACAAGATACTAAAAAGTTTTTAGGAGTTATTGTGGATGATCATTTATCATGGCTCCCACACATAAAATAAATGCAATCAAAAATTAGTGGAACCATTAGTATTATGTATCGAACTCTCCCATACTTAAATTCACATAGTCTAAAGCTTATATACTTCAGCTTAATTCATTGTTACATTACTTATGCAAATATTACGTGGGCAAGTTGTCCACCAACAAAACTTAAAAAAATTCTTTCCTTATTAAAACATGTTTGTAGAATTATATACAACAAAAAAAGGGGGGACCACACTAAACCTTTAATGATGAATATGAAAATGATGAACATATATCAGATAAATATTTTCCAACACCTAAACTTTATGTATAAATATACCAATAATCTAACTCCTGAAATCTTCATAAGTAAATTTAATAAAAATTTAAATGAGAAGTATTTCTTAAAAATAAATCAAAGTAACCCATATAAATTACCTAAAAAAGTAAACAAATACACAGAATATAGTATGACTTATAGAGGTCCCAAGCTATGGAACTCTTTTCTGAAAGACAATTTAAATATGGCAAAATCTTCAACTTAATTTCAGTTTCAAACAAAAACTTACGTTCTAAATCTTACGGATTAATTTTTATTTTTGTTTACAAAAATATTTTTTTTTTAGCATTATATCTGATTATTTAACAGTTTGTATTTTTAAATATTATATGTAATCTTTATATATTATATGTTGAATATAATATCATATATTTAATTGGAAATTTGTATTTAAATATATTCTTTTATAACTTTTTGTGACTATTAATATTTATTAATATTATATCTTTTTAACTATATATATATATATATATATATATATATATATATATATATATATATATATATATATACATATATATATATATATATATATATATATATATATATATATATATATATATATATATATATATATATATATATATATATATATATATATATATATATATATATATATATATATATATATATATATATATATATATATATATGTATATATATATATATATATATATATATATATATATGTATATATATATATATATATATATATATATATATATATATATATATATATATATATATATATATATATATATATATATATATATGTATACATATATATATATATATATATATATATATATATATATATATATATATATATATATATATATATATGTATATATATTTTACTATATGTTCTTTATTCACTATATGTGTTTATAACTTCTAATATTATATCTTCTTTTTTGGTGTTTTTACTTTTAATTGATACATCTTTTTTTTTCTCTATTTTTATTCTTAAATATTA